ACCACCAGTATATTTCTGGGGGACTGTCTGTTGGGGCTGCCCAATTTTATTTCCCTTTCATTAGTCACATTGTGGGATCCTGAACCCATCACAGCCCGGTTACTGGTGGCATGGGATGAGGCATGAACAACTGTTCAATGGACAGACATAAAAACTGTGTGTGAACACTCAAATTTCCTTGTAACCTCATGAAAAGTACACAGAGGTAAAATCAACTTTAATCCCAAATAGTTATAAATTCACATCCTTATGATATCTTTAACAGATAATCCCATGATAGTCATTTCAAAATGAAATCTCTATAAAATCCATATTTTAGATCTTCAATAATGCTAAATTTCTGAAACATGTTTTTTATCTTACAGCACACAGACTGACCATATTCCAAGTGCCCGAGAGCCACACCTCGATGGTGGTCACCACCTTAGTAATGCATAGGGACTGGAGGCACCGCCAGCAGGCAGGCTGAGGGACCAGGGGTTTGGGTTGTGACAGTGATACAGAACAGCGGTAATGCTCTAAAATTCAAGCCTACAGTCTCCCCTTCTTCAGTGAATAAGCTGTTGCTACAGAGTGAATGCCAAATCCATTAAGGTGGCTCAAAAAGTCTGATATTCTGGTCCTTTCTAGATCTAATGGACCGGAGGTGGTGAGCAAAGGATGATATAAGAACTGCAGAGGGTGGAAAAGGCCAAGGAGCTTACCTCCCCTGCCCCTAGCCCATGGCCACCAGCAATCTGGTAAAGTCTGGGATGGGAGACTCTGTGACAGCCCAACACAAACCACAGACTAAAGCAGAAAATGAAGTCACATTGGTATTGGGATTTCTAAGTACATCAGGAAATGAGGACTGTTTCCACGGTTAAAGAGAGCAATTTTTTAAACTGAATTTTTGTGTATTTCATACAGAACATATCAATCAATCATAATCATCTTTATAACCCCTTCCCCACTGGCACCCTCCCATACCCCCACTGGAATTCATTCATTCTGTCATTTGTCTTAAGGCCTATTGTGTCAAGTTAGTATCCCAGATGTCCCTCGGTGCAAGTTCATTTACTGAGGTCTAGTCAGCCTATTTAGAGTCTCTCATTTTAGGAAGATCAGCTCTTTCTCATCCAGCAGTAATCAGTTGCCAATATTTCTTCAGCTAAAGATTGGGGTCTGCTGCTCATTTCTCTAGTTTTATGCTGGGTTTTTGTCTGAGTTTGCATGGGTCCTGTGCGTGCTGACACCATTGCTGTAGGTTCATATGAGCAGGGTCCCAGGAGCTTGTAGGGTTCTATTTCCATATGGTCATGCACCTCCTCCCGGGCTCTTACAATCTTTCCACCCCCTCTTCTGCAATGGTCCTTGAGCCCTGGGTGGGTTGTGGTTTAATATAGAAGTCCTGTCCAACAACCAGTGTTCTGCAGACTCTTAGTCTCTACGCTTTGCCCATTTGTGACCTTTTGTGTTCCTGCCCTCTGTTGCATGAGGGAGCCTCATTAATAAGAACTGACATATTCATTATTTTCTTCTTTATCCCTTGTTCTATGTTCCACGAGCCTTAGGTATAGAGGTGGCATTGTAGATGTGCCACTTAGACTTAGGCAATTCACAGACAATGTCTGTGTGTGACTAGTTGTGGTACTCTATGATAGTCTCTGTCTGGTGCAAAAGAAGATTCTGTGATGAGTGATGACTGGGATATTTGTAAATATAAGGTTACGTATTTTACACATAGTAAGAAATTACATTAGTCTAAGATTGTGACACTTTTGGGGTTTTCTCTAAGATCTATGACCTCTCCAACCATGTGTATTTGGCTATGTTTACAACGCCGTACATGAGTTTCCTCCCATTGAGTGGGCTTTTAGTCCAATTAGGTAGCTGTTGATTACCCCCAAAATAAAACTGCCACTACTGCACCAATGCCGTATGCTGTGCACGTCATTGATGTGGGTTGGACCATCAATTGGTGTTCTCCCTTAGCACCCTGCATAGTGCTTTCCAAAGCTATGAGAGCTAGTCTTCAGGGGAAATGACTCCCAGGACAGTTTCAGCTCCATTGCTCCAAATCATGTCCAAAGTATGTTCTGTCTTCAGCAGTAGGGTCTTACCTTCAAGTTCTGGGAAGTAATCAAGGGCTGTGGCAACAGCCTGTGTAATTTGGGGAGTTTCTTGGACCACCCTGGCCAAAGTAAGGTTTCTCCTGTCTGGCACTGTTTCTTGTTATGTAGCCTTTAGCTATACACATGAACTCATGTAGAGATATACTATGTGTAACTTGTCATTAGGTTGTTGGACTAATACGATTTCCTGTTTTTTGGGTTTTTTTGTTTTGTTTTTTTTTTTATACTAGCTAGGCATTATTTATCTCTCCTAAGAAGAGTAATATTTATAGGACCAATACACAAATGTTTTTGAAAAATCTGGGTATTTTTATCTGAAACTAAAGGTGGAAAAACCCAGGTATCCTTGCTGATACAGGTACATCAAAAGAGCTATTTTCCAGAAACGAATATCCTAAACTAGGTGTGACTTCTGGCCTTTCTTAAAAATCCTATTTCAAGGGGGCTGTAGAGATGGCTCAGCAGTTAAGAGTACTGTTGTTCTTGCAGAGGACTAGGGTTCAATTCCCAGCACCTACATGGTGGCTGACAACCATTTGTAACTCCGTTTCCAGAGGGATTTGACACCCTCTTCTGACCTCCGCAGGCACTGCACAACACAAGTGCACTTACATACATGCAGGTAATACATAGATACGACATAAAAATAATTAATAAAATGTTTTTTTTAATCCTATTTCAGTAATTTTTACTAGCACATGGGCAGCTGGGTGAAATGGCTAGAGGGTACAGGTAGGCAGCTAGATGGGAGAAATAACTTGTAGTGCCCTATGGCACAGTAGGGTAACTAGTTGACAACAATTATTTGAATATTTCAAAAGAGCCAATGAAGAAGACTTTGAATAATCCTGAAATGAAAAAAAAGGAATAAAAAGAAAATAAGATAAATCTCTGAAGTGATAGTGAACTATTGTGATCTAACCATTATACGTCATAGATACGTGCTGAAATGTCGTATTTCATACTGCATAAATATGTGCACCTACTGCATGCCAAACACAAAGCTATAATTTAAAAAATTCTATCTGAATCCCAGTCTGCATAATCTATATGTATTTCCACAAAGGTGAAATAATATCAAAAACATAAGCATACAGAGTCTCATATTTACCAAACTCATAAGTGAAATTGTATTAGATGAACTATTCAGCAAAGTGTGACTATTATTTCCCAAATGCATATTTTTAAAATGTCATATCTAGGGAGAAAGTAAATTTATTATTAACTATTACTTAATAAACAAACAGGCAGAAAGAATATTGTGCTTAAGTACTTGGGACCAAATCCAGGCTTTCGCACAGATCAAGAAGTAGTCTACAAACACTTTGTCACATCCTCAGCCCAGTGAGCAGAATTTTCTTAATTGATATGTATATATATATATATATATAGTGTATAAAGTATTAGTGATTTATACTTAAATATGAAAAGTTATCAATTCATAGCTCACCATTATAACAAAATAAAAATTAGATTAATTTCTTTAAATGTTCTTAAGTCACAAGCAGTGAGCTGTCCTAGATAATTGTGAGGGAGAAAATGCCTGGGATTCTAGTTCTTTCCAACTGAACCAAGGAAGGAGCTCTGCATACTAAGAGCAAAGAGATGATGAAGAATTGGATGAAGACTGAAGAGCTCTGTGAACAAGATACATATGATTTCTGAAACATAAAGTTAAAGAAAAAGCCAGGTACAAATAGTGTTTATTGAAAGCTATCTTTTGTATAAGAAAAAGAAGGAAAAGTAAATAGAAACTCACAAACTCTGATCCAAAAATCTGAAATCTGAAATGTTCCAAAATCTGGCACTTTTTAATAAGTGCTGTGATTCTACAAAACTATAAATTCTACAAATATGTGCAAATTTTGGAGTTATACTGTGTCACATTCCACGTGTGATGGATCTCCTGTGACAGGCTGCACTCAAAATGCAGAAACACTAAAAGTTTTGAGTAAAATGACCTTCAGGATATGTGTATAAGGTATTCAGGAAAAAGGTGTGAATTTCCTGATTAGGCTTGGGTCCAATTCCCAAGACAAGTCATTATGAATTTGTAAATATTTAAAATTCTATGAAATCCAAAACACGTATGGCCCCTATGGCTGTTTGAATGAGGAATGTTCCTCACTGGCTCTAAGTATTTGAATACTTGGCTCCAGGTGCTGTTTGCAGAGGTTTAGGAAGTGTGGCCTTGCTGGAGGAAGCTTGTCACTAGGGGTGGGCTTTGAGAGTACACAGCCACAACCCATTTCCAGATCCAGTCTCCCTGCTTCCTGTGCCTCCTTGAAGACGTGAATGCTCAGCTCTCTGTTACAGCTACCTCTGCTGCCATGCCTCCCGCACCGTGATGGACTCTTATACCTCTGGAACCACAAGCCAAATAAACTCTTTAATAAGTTTCCTTGGTCATGGTCTTTTACCACAACAGAAAAACTTAACCTGATGCTCTTATGAGGATAAATCAAGAATAAATGGGTACAAATAAGAGATGAGGTAGAAGTGAGATTTGACTGTGGTTTATAGACTTAACAGTATGAAAGTTTGTTTCAAAAATAAAATACTGGAGAGAAAACTACAATAAATATAAACATCTGTAGATGAAGTAAAACATAAAATCAGTAACTGAAAAAAGTAAGTCCAACACTTGCAAAAACACTTCCTTGGCTGTACTAAAGTATATCAAATTCTAGTTTACTGATGACACAACATGACACAATTTGTAATTAATGTAAACTATAGGGTTAAATACGTTCATGATACAGTATATCATTAGGAACCAAGACTTTTACTGTAAGACATAAAACATAAATGAAAAGTACAAGAATTAACTTTTTAAATGAATACACGCAATCTAAAACAACCAAGTAAGAACCAGCCAGAACTCACTTCTTGGCAGTACTGCAGGATGCCCTCCTTGGTACCAATGCAGGTTTTCGTCCCCGATGGATCCGATTCCCACTTCCCATTCTGCACGTTCATGTGCATGTTGAGCTTGCCACAGAACATGGCAATCTGGGGTTCTGCCAGCAGCCCGGCATTGGCATCAGTGGGCACCTAGAAATGAGCAAATCTTAGTTAGTTACAGAATCCACAACTCCAAGGTAGAGATTCAACAGGAATAGGGAACGGGCAACAATATCAAAAAGTTCTGTCCCTGGTCATCTTCAGTTATCAGCATACTTCGGGTTGAGTATTACACCTGTTACAGACATGTCGAATGACCTACATAATACAGTGCTTTAATAGCGCAATACAGAGAGGGAAGTAACAATGAAGTAAGAGGATTTTTTTAGCCAGGAGTGGTGGCGCACACCTTTAATCCCAGAACTTGAGAGGCAGAGGCATGTGAAACTCTGTGAGTTCAAGGCCACCCTGGTCTACACAGAGAATGGCAGGCCAGCTGGGGCTACAAGGAGACCCTGTCTCAAAAAGGCAAAAAAGAGAGAGGACTTTCTAAAATAAATACAATCACAGTGGAAGAAACTACATACCCCTAACCACCAGCTGACTCTAAGCCAGTGCCAGGCTGTGCCTGATGACCAGGCCTGGAGGTGACATTTCATGCCACATCTCAGCCCTGACAGCAAGATGTTATCAGTGTGCCTTCATTGGTGAGCAAGTGGCTGCATCTGATTTTTTTTCATCAGAAAACTTCACTGGCGAATTCACCATCCACAAATATAACCAAATATGCTGGCCATTCCACAAGTCTTCCCTACAACTCTCCATCCTCACTCTTTATCTTTTTGCCTCCAGAATCGTATGTGTGTGGTGTGCAAGTGCACGTGTGTGCGCACTGTGCGTGCATGTGGATGCCAGAGGACAACCTTAGCCACTGGTCCTCAGGTACTGTCCACCTTATTTTGAGACAGGATCTATCACTGGCATGGAACCTGAGAAGTAGGCTAGGCTGACTGGCAAGAGAGCCCCAGAGATCTGCTTGTCTCTACCACCCCAGCACTAGCATTACAAGGGAACACACCTGGCATTTTAAAATTTGGGTTCTTGGTATATAATGGAACTTGTAGTTCTTTCAAGCACTTTATCAACTGAGCTACCACTCCAGCCCTCTCTTGGTTCCTTAAGTATGTTAGGGGTACTCAAGTCCCATCTCCCCTACCACACTGTAAGGAGTCAATGTTTTATTCAGAGCTTAGCAGATTTGTTGCTGTACAGTAAACTCAAAAGCAAGTCTTAGCTCTGACCACTGCAGGCACTATACTATACCATTTCATAATAATGCTCTGAAAAGTCTGCGGTCTGCATTTACAGCCCCTCTGTGTATAGGTAACTTTGTCTCCTTCCTTCCCTCTGTCCTTCCCTCCCTCATAGCCCAGGCTGGTCTCCAACTTGCAATCTTTTTGCCTCACCCTCCCATACTAGAATGACAACTGTACCTCTGTGCCCAGCTAGATATTTTTAAAAAGGAAAATGGAAGTCTGAAATATCTCTTCTACTTCACTCAATAGGTTCTCCAAAAAAGAAAACCAAATCCACAAGGGGAAAAAGAGTGACTAGAACCCAAGGAATCAGAAGACACGTTCTTCCCTGGTGATATCCAGCTGCACATGTGAGCTGCATGCCAAGGTAACTACAGTAACCACTCCTGCATGATTCTGCTATAACTTGAATCAGTTCCAAACACTGTTCACAGGAGGAAAAAAAAAGACCAAAAACATCTGGAGAGACCAGTTTAAGACATTTCTCTCCACAGAAATGTAAAATAGACCAAACATCTGCCCACCCAGGTCTTCTTCACATATGTATTTTGTCTAACCACAGCAGAGGATTTGTGCCTTAAAAAAAAAAAAAAAAAAGGCAAAGATTGAACCTACTCATTGGGTATAAGAAAAGAGCTGCTGGCCAAATTTCTAAAATCATGTTTTCAGGAAGCCTGTCTATATTTAACAAATTCTGTCTCTCTAGCACCAGATGTTAAGGTCCTTCAAACAGCAGCTGAGGCCACAATGTCACATCATGTGCACAACAGCTCACACAGCTGGGAACCCTCAACTCTTCATCGGGAGCTCCCCCCACCTCCACCCACACCCCTCGCCCCGCCACGAAACTGAGTTTCATCATCCATCAGATGCAAAGTAGGAGCTGATGCAGAATGGTCAATGAACTTAAACTTCACAGCTCTGCTGAGTGAGGAAAAGGATATTCAATGCCTGGATCTCATAGATCAGAATATAAATCTTGCCAACTTTATTGAAATAAGCAGGTAATAACATGACAAGGAAGTTGGTCCAGTGGTAATCAGGCACCTGTAGGTGAAAGCCTCAAGCAGAAGCTCAGCAAACTGTGGCTTCCAAGAATTTACAACCCACCAATGCAATTCCCACTGTATGGCCCACAGAGGTTTATTCTGCTAAACGTTTTAATATAGTCCTTTTCCATAGAGTTCCACTCTTAGCAGGTCATGATATCTTATCCCCAGCTAAAGAGAAACTACAAAAACTCTTTGAGACTTGGTGGGAATTTTGTTAAAAAGAATCCGATTCTCTCAGCCTCGGAATTATCCCTGGTTCCATTTCTTCATGACCTGGCACTATCATATTTGAGGAACGTGGACCACCTCTTGTTCAGTACAAATGCAAGGATTCCAGTTCCTCCCTTTAAAGAACATTTAATTGGCAAGTCTCTTTTGTGATAGCGCCCCAAAACAGCCCCCCCCCAACTCCATGGCCCTTCATGTTTTCTCGTAATCATGAAATGGGGCAGTCCCTTCCACGATGTATACTAGTTTGTCTGTGCAACAAACAAAATATGACAGAAACTTGTCTAGAGCAAGGTTATGACACTGCAATTCCTCACTGCTGTGTGGGATACTCACTGTGAGGGAGGTCAGCTGCTGTGTGTGAGGCCCAAGGACTGGGGAACTCAGATCTCCTTTACAGACAAACCAGTGAGCTTGGAAAGAGCCCACACCTCAGTCAAACCTTCACCTGGCTGCAGCCCTGGTTAGGAAGAAGGCTACAGCCTCTAGAGACCCCAAGCCAGAACCACCTAGAAGACACCCCTAAATCTCTGCCCATAGAAACTGTAAAAATGACTGCTGTTTAATCCGACAAACTTATCACACAGCAACAGCCACTGACATTTTCCCTTTTCTCCAGTTCGTTAGCCACACATAGCTCTGAACACCTCTACTGAGCACAGTAAACAGGAGACAAAAACCCCTACCGCACTTCTTCACAGAGCAGAGGATCCCTCCACTACTACCCTACAGAGCAAAGGATCAGCAAACTTTCTGAATGGATCAGGCGATAAGTATTTTGTGTTTTGTGGGTCACACAGTCTCTTTTGTGACTATACAACTCTATTGCCGTAGCACAGAAACAGCCTTAGACAAGACCCAAAAGATAAGCATGGCTTTCTCCAATGAATACTTTACAAAGAAGACAGCAAGCCCCATCTAGCCAGTAGGCTGTAGAGCACAGCTCTGGAGAAACTACCTGCATTCCTTTCACTAATGACAAATTTTAACTCATCTCATGATTTAAACACTCACTGCCAACACTCTTCAATTGCTTCTTTTTAAAAGTTTATTTTGTGTACATGTAGGTGTGTAGGGTGTACATGCCATGTGGGGGTGCACGAGTGCCATGGTGCACATATGGAGGTCAGAGGACAACTTACAGAAGAGGGTTCTCTTCTTCCACCATTAGAGTACTGGGGATTGAACTCAGGTGGTTGGGCTTGATGACAGGTGCCTTTACCAACTGAGTGATTTTCCCAGTCCATCCACTTGCTTTTTAATCCTCTGGTCCAGTCATCCGGTTTACCTTCCCACCACTGACATGACCACTCCAAAGTTATGTATGGCTCCTATATGAGAAGCCAAGCAGGCTTTTTCTCAGTACCTGTCCCTCTTCCCCTTATTTGCCACACATGAATTCCTACATAGATTTCTCCTCTCTTGGCATCCGTCACAATGAATTATCCTGACTCTTCTTTGAGCTTACCTTCCAGGAGTCACCATGCTCCAGTTCCACAGCTTAAGACATTCCTAATGGTGGAGCTGTTGCTTCTCTCCTACCTTCTTTAAAATGTCTTTTGATTTCTATCTGCCAATGCACGGTTACAACATACACTAGGTGATGACATATTTTGTAAGAAAAAGCATCGAGGGAGGCTAAGTCTCTACCCTGACAGTTAAATGGCAAAACAGGTGAAACGTTTCCAGCTTGAGACTTTTTTTCTTAATTGATTAAAATTGTTCCCTGACAATTTCGTACATGTATATGGCACATTCTGTCCCCCCCGCCAACTCTCTTACCTCTCTCGCACTCCTGCCATCCCCTCCTCCTCTCTACAAGTGTCTTTCCCATACTCATACCTTCTTGGTTTTTAACTGATTTTAGCCAGGACCAGGGATTGGAACTAGCCATTGGAGTACCTGTTGGGCTCACTAATACACAATTGAAGGCAATGAATGCCTCTCCCCAGAGTCCATCAGTTGCCAGTCATTGAGTAGAGAGGGGCTGGGCCCTCTCCATTAGCCCCTCCCTGATCCAGGCCTAGTCTTGTGTAGACCCTGCAGCATGAGATTTTTGGTGTTAAGACCAGAAGGTCCTTTGGGACAGTTGTTCAACTCACCTGGCCCTTTTTTTTTTTTAATCAGATCAAATTCTGCTTCACATTTTACCATGATTTCTTCCTTTTACATCTTCCGCTCTTCCCTTTGTCGTCCTTCCCCCACTTGCCTTTATAGTTATTTTAACACCGTTGGTCTGTATCATATGTATGTATATGCAGGCAAACAGTAGTAATCTGTTCCACACTTCTTCAAATAAACTGACTATGGCCCTGTAATCACCTAATAATGTCGCACTTTAACAAAGCTAGTTTAGACAAGAAAATATGTGCTTTGGCTCCTTTCAGGTTTTCCACCCAGGGGATTTAATATTTGTAACAGTTAACTTTCACTGTCAATTTGATTAGCTTTAGAATCTGCATGGAAACACACCTCTGGGTATGTTGATGAGGGTTTTCCCAGAAAGGTTTAACAGAGGAGAGAGAACCTACCTCAAACATGAGCAGCACCATCC